CCTGATGCATTTATTCTACTAAAAATAGTTAAAGGTGTTTTCCTTGTCATTCTTTTTACCCTGTAAATAAATCCTATTAACACTCCATCATCAAATTATACTGTTTTGAGGTCATTTAAAACATTTCTTCTTTGTGTGGTCATGACATCAACAGGATATAGATAAAAGTACCATTTTGTGCTATGTAATAATGTTGCCTTCAATGTTAATTGCTTTGTAAATGATTTTTTTAAATTTGCATAAAACATTTAAATGGTTCTAAAGTTAATATATAAAGCAGATTCATTTGTAGAAATCTAGCTTCGATCCCTGTGTGAAGTTAAGTGGCTTTCCTAGCCATTGCTTTATGTTGATGCGTGAATGGGCAGAAATATAAAAATAGGGCATGTTAGCCTATCCACAGGGATTGGCTTTCTTACCAAGCCACAAGGGGGTTAGTTAATCTTGCCATTAAATTGAGTGGATCCAGCAGCAAAAAGAAGAAACCTCACCATTAGCAAAGAAAAGCGAGAAAAAAAAAAAAAAAAAAAAAAGCAACTTGTCCTCCAGGACCAGGACAACAGCCGTAGCAGCTACAGCACAGAACCAGAGACCTGACATGAGACAACAGACCTTGGCACTGTTGCCTTCCACAGGCAGAACCAGAGCTAAGCTAAGAGCCTTGGTCCAGGTTTATTGTACAACTGGGAGGAGAAGGGCTGGACAGCCAACATTGGCAGGACTAAGAATTTTGTAACACTTGCCTAAAGGCATGAGGGGTTTTTTAAATTTTATTTTATTAAATTTTATTAGTTTTAATGAACATTTACAGGGATTTTGGGTTTTCATTCCTTCATTACTGCACCATTTTTTCTACCCTCCTCCCCAGTTTGTTCTTCTTCCCCCGCCATCCGAATGTGTGTTTTAATTGTCCAATTGCCACAGTGCTTGTCAAAGTCAGTTCTGATTAATCTCCTTTGTCAGTGTGTCCTTTGCCATTCCCTATCACTCCTCCCTGAGAGAGACTTCACCCTGAGTCATAAGGAAAAGGGGATGGCATATTCTCTTAGCTACTTCCTGCTGAAAAGGGACGCTGTGGGTTTCAGGGTGAAGATCTTCTCTCACTACTCTAAAGGGCCCCTTTGGCAGTAGGAAACACATAGACTATTATGGAGATTGATTTTGGAATTTAGATGCACTCTTATTGATTGTGCTTGGCTGTACATGTTCATATCCCTGAAGATGTATCAGGGGGGGGAGGGTGTTGCAACCTAGAAGACACAAATTTAACTAACAAGTTATAAGTACATGAGTCCAAAATTATGGAAAAGTAAAAGAAAAGATTCTTTCATTGTTTTACAAACCCTCCCCCAGGTCCCCTCCACCATGTAGCCCTCGCTCTAGACTCCTGTGATGACAGAAATACCTAGTCACATATCTCTTTTACACAGTTTTCTCCCTCCTCTGTTTCAGTGCAGTATACATTATTGAACACATCTTACTCAGTCTCTCCCCAACCCTGAGGTTAGTCCCATTCTACAACAGTGGCATCATGTAATATTTGTTCTTTTGTGACTGGGATATTTCACTCAACATAATGTTCTCCAGAGTCAACCATTTTGAATAATATTTCATGAGTTCCTTGTTTTTAAATGCAGCATAGTATTCCATTGTGCAAATATACCACAGCTTCTCTAGCCATTCGTTTGTTGATGGGCACTTAGGTTGTTTCCAACTCCTTGCTATTGTGAACAAAGCTGCAATAAACATGGGAGTGCATATATCTGCTTGGATGTCAGCTATGGTCTCTTCAGGGTATATTCCCAGTAGTGGAATTGCTGGGTCAAATGGTATCTCTATTTGCAACTTTTTGAGAAAGCGCTTTCCACAGGGGTTGCACCATTTTACACTAAGGCATGAGGCATGAGGTTTAAGACTGAGGTGCATGAGAGCACATTTCAGATGCTGTACTGACCATGTTCTACTGCTAACCTTTACTATAACCTTTTGACTTCCCTAACATGGTTCTGTGTGGTCTGTGAACTATCACATTAGAGTTTGGACTCAGTAAAGCCATAAGGTTGGTGCTGAGATGAGTAGAAAGAGACCGGGAGCATGGTGGGGGGTGGGGGGAACATGCCTGATCTCATGGGAATTGGTTTTGTCTTGTTCATGCTATTGACAGGGACAGTTCCCCTTTGTGAAGTTGTTACAGGTCAGATATGGCCATCCCTACAGGGCCCTTGCTCTTTTTACACCCCGCTGCCTCAACCGTATCACTTCCTGAGTTTATTCCATGGTAGTACATAGACAGTCCTCATTACTTTTTTTTGCAGTGCCTACTACAGCATTGTGCTGGCTCATTAGGGAACTCTTTTTTTAATTATTATTTTCATTCATTCATTGTTGCACTTTTCTCCCTGCCCATCCCTCTCCCCCATTAGGGAACATTTTGAGGGGTAAACCAAACTGTATAATCTACTGGTGGCATAGTGGTAAGGAGTTGTTTGCACTGCCAACCCAAAAGCCCTTGATTATTGTCCACCAGCTGCTCTGCAGGAGAAAGGTGGGCAATCTCTTGTACGGTTTCCTTCCTCTGAAAACCTGCTGGAGGGTCAGCTATGAGTTGGTTCCAAGTCAACAGTACATAAAAACCACTACCTAACATAGAGTCCCTGGGTGGTGTCAAAGAAATGAGTTTGACTGTTAACTGAAAAATTGGTGGTTCTAATCCTCTCAGTAACGCCTAGGAATAAATGTTGGGTGACCTACTTGAAAAAACCTAGCCATTTTGCTTCCTGTGGAGCACAGTTCTATGCTGACACCTATGGGGTTCGTTGAATCAACTCAGTGGTAGCTGGCTCGTTTGCTTCATCTAACACATATTTGTTGCATTCTGGGTAGAAAAATAATATTACTGGATAAAAGAGAACAAATAATTGACTAGTAAAATCTACTAGAACAAGCAGTGCTGCCAACCAAAGGTCTGTGGTTTGAATCTACCACTTGCTCTGAGGAATGAAGATGGACAATCTCCTCCCGTGCGATTTACTGCCTCTGAAAACCAGTGGAGGCTCTGGTATGGGTCGGTTCTGACTCAACACCAATGAACATCAACAGCAAGCTAAATTAAAGAATAAATTAACTCTGTTGATTTACAGAAGATGTTGAATAGAAATATGGACTGGAGCTGTTAGGGTGGCTATGCAAAACAAGTAGGGCTTAATTAAATGAGACCTTCCAGGTGATGGTTGTTATCGTTAAGTGCCGTCAACTCGTAGGCGAGTCATAGCGACCGTTTGAACTAAAGGCCTGAACACTTTCATCATTTCTCTAAGTTCATATGGTTTCCGGAGGCAAGCTATTTTGGAAGTGGATGCCACTCCTGCTTCCAAGCTTATTTTATTTGGGGAACTCCACCACTGTCCACCACAGGTAACCATTATTGCATTTGACACATCAGGGTCACAGTGTTCAGCTTCACAGCAACCACGAGTTACCTCTGTATGGCAAGTGGACACACCAGTGCTATACCACTTAAAAGAATGTTTGACCAAAAACAATTAAAACCAGGCCCGAGGGCTACAGATTAAAATCACCCACTGTTGGCCCAGTAGCCTCACTTTCTAATCACTAGGGCAAAAGATTAAAACCTTAAAGATAGATAGGGTTTAAATAACTGAGGAGAGAAGCTGTCCCAGGTTTAGGAAGATGATGTCATCCTGTAGAATTGACTGAGAGATTCAGAGTGTTGTGAATAAACCAGTAAGATCTGAACAGAAAGATTATATAAGAGCAGGCTGGATAATAAACCAAGATTCACTTATAAGGGCATTGGCTGTTGGACTAAAAGCTTCATTGCACCTAAAGCACAGCTTCTAACCACTGATGTCGGCTCAGAGCCTTCGTGGTTCCCCAGCGACAGGCTTTTGATCTAGAAGAGGACATCTCATCTGAACTATGCTGCCAGAGGACTCCTCATAGAACAAAGTCCAAGGTGACTTAGAGATTAGGGGAGACAAGTGCTTAAATGAGGTACTGACAGTGGAAAAAGGACATTTAACAATTTAGAAGTAGACTGTATAGGAGTTGGAAACCTTTTCATTGTTTCTAAAGATGGAAGAAAGGATAGGCACTCAAAGATGACTGTAATTCCCAGTCTGGCTTCAGAGGAAGGGAGTAGCCTCATTCCTGTGTCCTCAATGACACTCAGACATTTTTCATCATTTTGTTCAGGAAAGAAGAGAACTCAAAATGTAGTCATGTGAGTCTTGAGTCTTTTTCATGGATAGTGTGCCCTCTAGTGTCCCTGCCAGGTTCCAAAGCCTTGTTGTGTTGTGCCACCAAGCAGAGTCCAACTCAGAACCACCTTATAGGACAGAGCAGACCTAGAAGGCTGTTCTCTTTATGGGGGCAGATCATCAGATCTTTTCTCCTGAGGAGCAGCTGGTGGATTTGAACTGTCAGCCTCTCAGTTAGCAGCCAAGCTCTTAACCATTATGCCATGAGGTCTCCTTGAAGCTTCTTCTTGTTGTGTGCCAGTGAGTTGGAATCAACTCGTAGCTGACCCTCCACCAGGTTTTCAGAGGCAGTAAAGCACGTGGGAGGAAATTGCCATACCTTCTCCCAACAAGCAGTTGGTGGATATGAACTGTGTGCCTTTGTGATTGCAGCACAGCTTCTTACCACTAGACCAGCAGGGTTCCCTTGAAGCTCCTTAGAGGACTGGAAATGGTGTCTGGATTTATGTTACTGCTCTAGAGGTTGTTCAGTGCTATTGAGTCTATTTTCAACTTCTTGTGACCCCAAGTGACAGACAGAAATGTCTCATAGAGTTTCCTAGGCTGTGACTTTTACAGCACACGCAGATCACAAGTCTTTCTCCTGCGGAGTCTCTGGGTCAGTGTGATGCACCAATCTTTTGATTCACCACTCTGAGCTTAACCATTGTAATACTATGGTTTTTTCTATACTCTGCCTGACTTCCTCACTATTTTCCTTCCTTTTCTTTCTTACCTCAGGGCATTGCAGGCACGGATGTCGCAAAGGAGGCATCAGATATCATTCTGACAGATGACAACTTCACCAGCATCGTGAAGGCAGTGATGTGGGGTCGGAACGTCTATGATAGCATCTCCAAGTTCCTTCAGTTCCAGCTCACTGTCAATGTCGTGGCCGTGATCGTGGCCTTCACCGGAGCCTGTATCACTCAGGTGAAATAACTGAGGGGTGGCCTGAGATGGAAGGGATGAGGCAAGGGCTGAAGAACACGGCCTACAGGGTATAGTGCGCTACTGAGGAGCGAGGAAAAAGGGTTTCCCCAATGGTATTGTAGCAGGATTTAGCTCTAGTAGGATCACTGTCTCCATCTATTAATGGAGAGTGATGATCATTTATCCACTATTTCCGTAGCATTTTGGTACCATCAACTGTAATGAGAATGTAAGATTCTGAAGCTTCATCTGACATACTTTGGGCATGTTGCAAGGAGGGACCAGTCCTTGGAGAAGGACATCATGCTTGGGAGGGTGGAGGGACAGTACAGGAGGGGAAACCCTCTATGAGGTGGATTGATTCGGTGACTGGGGTAATCGGGATGGGTGTGTCAGAGGCAGTGCAATTGGCACAGGATAGGGCAGGGTTTAGGGATGTTGTACATATCGCTATGAGTCGCAGATGACTCGATGACACATAACAACAAACAACAAATATGTTTAGTCTTCAAAAACAAACTCACAAGGTAGGCATTACTATACCTATCATATGAGTGAGAAATTTGAGGCTCAAAAAGCTGAAGTAACTTTCTCAGGGTCTCTTGCTAATAAGAAGCAGAGCCAGATTCAAAGTCTAGGTGACCAGTAGAGAAGCTAGGGGATAGTTAGCTTCTAGGAGTAAAGATGGAGCTGAGGGTGAGAGGGGGCGGCTTCTGAGGGAAGCTAAAAGGGCTGGGTCTTCTTCCCACCAGGATTCTCCACTGAAAGCCGTGCAGATGTTGTGGGTTAATCTCATCATGGACACCTTTGCCTCCCTGGCCCTGGCCACAGAGCCCCCAACCGATTCTCTGCTGAAGCGCCGCCCCTATGGTCGAAACAAGCCCTTGATCTCACGTACTATGATGAAGAATATCTTGGGACACGGAGTGTATCAGCTCACTGTCATCTTCCTCCTTGTCTTTGCCGGTAAGCCTCAGATACAGGGTTGTGCTTAGTGAGGTGGGAGGAGACGGGACAAAGGATGGAGGCTCCAAGGAAAAAGGCGCCTGGGAATAAGTGGAGTGCGACACTAGGATAGCAGCAGCTTTCTCATGGAGCGCATTCTGCATTGTGCTGTGTCACGTAAACTTGGGAATCTCACGTGCATGGTATTGAATTGTGTGTCCCCAGACATGTGTTGTAAATCCTAACCCTGTACCTGAGGTTATGATTCCTACTTGTAATGGGTTTTCTTTGTTACGTTAAGAAGCCTGTTTATGTAGAGTGTGTTTTAAGCCTTTGAGAGAGAAAAAGAGTAGATAAAGCATTGAGAAGCTATTAGAGATGGAAATGTAGAGATACTACACCACAGGAAGATTACCCCAGGACATCAACAGAGACCAGGACCTTCCTCCAGAGCCAACAGAGAGACAGAGACTGCCCCAGAGCCAGCACCTGAATGCAGACTTCGAGCACCCTGACATATGAAGGGAATACATTTCTGTGTGTGAAAGCCTCCCACTTCTGGTAGTTCTGCTACAGCAGCACTTGACAACTAAGTCGGGGAAAGTTTTTAAGTCATGTGAAAAACTGAAGCACAGTTCACAGAGTGGTGCAAAGACTTAAACCTATGTCTCCCTGACTCTAGGGCTCAGAATCTCACCCCCAAGATGCACTGCGAGAATGCAAAAGTCAATGGGGCAAACTTATAAAGTCAAAGAGGTTAAATCTGACTGTGAGCAAAAACCCTGTCAAAGAAGGAAAACACAAACCCTGTCAAAGGTGAAAAGTTTATATGGCCCAGAAAAGCCAGGCCATCCCATCGATTCCAGCCCTCATAGGTTTCACTGTATCTGATAGTCCATTTAGCACAGACAGGGACCAGTTAGAATGAGCACCTCTATGGCTGTACCAGTGAGTTCTGGCCCAATCTGAGCACTGGCTGAGACTATTATTATTATTATTATTATTATTATTATTATTATTACTATTATTTTGTGTGAGCACCGTCAAATCAAATCTGACTGGTACAAGAGGAGATTGCGCTCCTTCTCCATCTGGTGGATTCGAACTGCATACATCTGGGATTGCAGTGCAGCTTCTTTTTTTTTTAAATTATTATTAAATTTTATTCGTTTTAATGGACATTTACAGAGATTTTGGGTTTTCATTCATTCACTGTTGCACTGTTTTCTCTACCCTCCTCCCCAGTTCGTTCTTCTCCCCACCCCACCCCGAATGTCTGTTTTAATTGTCCAATTGCCACAGTGCTTGTCAAAGCCAGTTCTGATTAATCTCCTTTGTCAGTGTGTCCTTTGCCATTCCCTATCACTCCTCCCTGAGAGAGACTTCACCCTGATTCATAAGGAAAAGGGGATGGCATATTCTCTTAGCTACTTACTGCTGAAAAGGGACGCTGTGGGTTTCAAGGTGAAGATCTTCTCTCACTACTCTAAAGGGCCCCTTTGGCAATAGGAAACACGTAGACTATTATGGAGATTGATTTTGGAATTTAGATGCACTGTTATCAATTGTGCTTAGTCGTACATGTTCATATCCTTGAAGATGTATCATGGAAGTGTTGCATGCAGTGCAGCTTCTTACTACTAGGCCACCAGAGCTCCCTGAGACCATTCTTAACCTCCAGTGCTTGCCTTTTTCTCCCTACTAGGTGAGAAATTCTTTGACATTGACAGTGGGAGAAACGCACCTCTACACTCACCACCCAGCCAACACTACACTATTGTTTTTAACACCTTCGTGCTGATGCAGCTCTTCAACGAAATCAACTCCCGCAAGATTCACGGAGAGAGGAACGTCTTTGCTGGCATCTTCCGCAATGTCATCTTCTGCTGTGTGGTCTTGGGCACATTCATTAGCCAGGTGAGAGTCTAGCTGGGTTAGGATAGGATGTCTGGGATCACACAGGCTGGAAACTGGGAGCCAGGATTCCCTAAGGACCCAAGAAGAGGAGTGGGGGATTCATGGAACTGGAGCCTGTGGGCTTAACCCTTCAGGACTCCCAATTTTGCTTCCTTTTGAACATTACTCCAGGATTGGTGCCCCACTTATGTCAGGTGTTCCACTATAAGGCAGCTAATCAAATAAGACATGTAGAATCCTTTAATTATGTTTTTAAAACACAGAAAGTATGCAGCATGCCCAAGAGAAGGGTCCCTGTCTTCTAGCCCTGGCCAGTACACATGACATGTGTTAGCATGTGCAGTGCAGGCTCTTTCCTGGTCCCTGTCCCTTTGCTGTAAGAGAGCTTATCATGGAAAATGCTGGGCAATGCCCAGAGAAAGAGAGTTGACACGTGGCTGATACGTAATTGAGAAAGCCTGGTTTCGGCTTTCCCTGTGAGAACCTGACTAAAGTAAATTTGGGTGGCCTGGTGGTGAAAGGATTGAGTCTCTGCCTTCTTGCCCTGACCTTCGGCACTCTAAAACATCCGTGGATACAAGACATGAGCTCTGCCTATAGCAAAGAAGCCCTGCCCCCCTCTCCTCTCAGCAGCAGGCTTCCTTGTTTAACCCATCCTGGAACCCTCCCCCCCACCACTGTGCCTTCCCTTTGCTGCCCAGTTCTTGCATTAACGATGGCCATAAGAAAAGGCTGTATCTGTAATTCATAGATTTCTTCTCTCTGACTCCCAGCCTCAGTGAGCAGACCAGGACTTGTACCAAAGGGGTCCTGGGCAGAGGCCTTCTGTGACTGTGCGGGGCCTTAGTTGGGGTTTTAGCTGTTAGCCTCCTCCCTGATGGTACACTATCCCTTTCTCTGTCATAGATTCTTATCGTGGAATTTGGAGGCAAACCCTTCAGTTGCACAGGCCTCACTCTGTGCCAGTGGTTTTGGTGTCTCTTCATCGGAATTGGAGAGCTGCTGTGGGGCCAGGTGAGTATGAGCAGAAAAGACTTAGAATACTGTTAGTTAGTAGCTGGTATTAGGTCTTTCGTTCTTAGGTTCGCTATGAGCCACCTACGACTCAACGGCACTTAACAACAATATAGAGAGAGCTCTGTTGGCCTAGTGGATAGAAAGTTATGCTATCAAGCCAAAGGTGGGTGATTTTAATCTGTGGCACTCAAGCCTGGTTTAAATTGTTTTTGGTCAAACATTCTTCTAAGTGGTTTAGCACTGGCCTGTCCATTTTCTGTACAGAGGTAACTTGTGGTTGCTGTGATTTTTAACACTGTGACACTGATGTGTCAAATGTGATAATGATTACCCATGGTGGACAGTGTTTGGTGGAGCTCCCCATTTAAAACAAGCTTGGAAGCAGGAGTGGCATCCACTTCCAAAATAGCTTGCCTCCAGAAACTCTATGAACGTGGAGAAATGATGAAAGTTATACAAGTGTTCAGGTACTTCGTTCGTAGGGTCGCTATGAATCATCTACAACTCGACGGCACTTAACAACAACAACAACATATTGTTGTTAGGTGCTGCTAAGCTGGTTCAAGCTCATAGCAATCCAGTGTACAACAGATCACATTACACAGGCCTGTGCCGTCTTCATAATCATCTGAGCTCATGTAACAGCTACTGTGTTAATCCGTCTTGTTGATGGTCTTATCTTTTGCGTTTCCTTAACTTTCCCAAGCCAATAACCTCCTTCTCCAGGGACTGGCTCCTTCTGATGACATGTCCATAATACATGAGCTAGTCTTCTCAATTTCTCTTCTAAGAAGCATTCTAGCTGCACTTCTCCCAAGACAAATTGGTTCATTCTTTTGGCAGTCCATGATATAGCTAGTATTCTTCAGCATATCAGTTCTTCCTGCATTAGTCTCCTTATTCATTGTCCAGGTTTCACATGCACGTAAGACAGCTGAAAATACTGCAGCTTGGGCCAGGCACATTGTAATCTTCAAATGTGATATCTTTGGTTTCTAACTGTTACAAGAAGTTTTGCGCTATGCTGTACATTAATTTCTTGGTGGCTGCTGCTCCCATAGGCACTGACTGGGATGAGAGTAAAATGAAATCCTTGATAACTTCAATCTTTTTTCCATCCATTTATAATGATGCTCCTTATTCTAGTTGTAAGGATTTCTAGTTTGAGTTAAGGTGTGGTACAATTGAAGGCTGTAGTGTTTGGTTCTCATCACTAAATGCTTCAAGTCCTACTCATTTTCAGTAAGAAAGATGTCTCATCTGCCTATTTCAAGCTGTTAATTAAAATACTCTTCATCCAGTCTTGATATCACGTCCTTCTTCATTCTCTCAAATTACATGCTCAGTACTGATTGAATACTTTTGGTGAAAGATACAGCCCTTATGCACACCTGTTTTGATTTTAAGCCATGCAACGTCCTCAATTCTGTTCCAATGATTGCCTCTTAGTCTTTGTCCAGATCCCACGTAAACACAACGAAGTGTCCTGAAATGACATGGAGGAGGCAGCTGACCTCCTTTAACTTCAAAAAGGATAGAGAGACTCGCCATCAACATCAACACTAATTCCTAGGACACAGAGATCAGGCATGCCTCCATTCCTCCGTTGTTGGTTTTTGTTGTTGTTTTTTATTTATGGAGTTTTTCTTTTTTAAATTTATTATTAATTTCAATGAAAATTTACAGAGATTTTTGGATTTGCACGCATTCATTGTTATGCTTTTTTCCCCTCCCAACCCTTCCCTCTAGTACACTATCCTCTTGGAAAAGTAAAAGAAAATCTTTCATTGTTTTACAATCCCTCCCCTGAGGTCCACTCCACTATACAGCCTTCACTCTGGACTCCTGTCATGACAAAAATCCCTAATAATTTTCCCTCTTAAACAGTTTTCTCCTTCATCTGTTTCAATGCAGTGTACATTATTGAACCCATCCTTCTCAGTCTCCTCCCAACCCCAAGGTCAGTCCTGCTTTACAACAGTGGCACCATGGAGTATTTGTCCTTTTGTGACTGAGATACTTCACTCAGCATAATGTCCTCTAGGGTCACCCATTTTTAATAATATTGCATGAGTTCCTTGTTTTTCAATGCAGCATAGTATTCCATTGTGTGAATATACCACAGCTTCTCTATCCATTCTTTTGTTGAAGGGCACTTAGGTTGTTTCCAACTCCTTGCTATTGTGAACAAAGCTGCGATAAACATGGGTGTGCATATATCTGCTTGGATGTCTGTTATGATCTCTTTGGGGTATATTCCCAGTAGTGGAATTGCTGGGTCAAATGGTATCTCTATTTGCAACTTTTTGAAAAAGCGCCATACCACCTTCCACAGTGGATGCACCATTTTACACTCCCACCAACAGTGAATAAGGGTCCCAGTTTCTCCACAACCTCGCCAGCATTTGTTGCTTGCTGTTCTGTTAAATTTTGCTATTCTGACTTGGGTGAGATGATATCTCATAGTTCTTTTAATTTGCATCTCCCTAAGAGCTAGGGATTTTGAACATTTCTTCATGTGCTTGTTAGCCATCTGAATGTATTCTTCAGTAAAGTGTCTGTTCATATCCTGTGCCCATTTTTCTCTTGAATAATTTACCTTTATTTTGTTATGGTGCTCAGGTATTTTATAAATTCTGGATATAAGTCCCTTATCTGATATGTCATTACCAAATACTTTTCCCCAGTCTGTGGCTTCCCTTTTTACCCTGTTGAAGAAGGATGTACATAGGGATTTGATTCTTAGAAGATCCCATTCATCTATTTTATCTTCTCCTGATTGTAGATTCAGTTGTTGTTTTTAAACCACCAATTCTGACATAAACCATCCCTCCTATATCACTCTACTTCTTTCCTGAGTTTGATAATTCTTTATAATGACCATAGACAATCTCAGTTTTGAGGCTTATTAGAGAAGTAACAAGTTATAATTCAGGACCAGAAATGACTCAGGATACGATTCTTTGTTCAGAATGCCATCTTCTTCTCCACCCTGTCCATGGGCAGGTCTCTCTCTGTGTCTTAGACCCCTTGGTCTGGCCTCTGCCCTGTTCTAGCAAGTTTGACAGTGCTCTTGTAGCTCTTCCTATATGTGCCCAGAAGCACCAGTAAACCACAGCCCTGACACACAAAGTTCTAGCTTCATGAGCAAACTTACCTCTGCCAAGTACCCAGAGAGCCCCTACTCTGCCAGGAAACGTTATTGCACCATCTGTTGCTGGTCTCCTAGCCCCTTGCCTCTGCAGCCATCATTTCTCTCCTGCTGCTTCTTGCCATTTCTCATCTGCAGATTACAGTTCTATCTTTGTAGCTATCTCTATGCTTGGAAGGAAGAGGACAGTGCAGGAGAGGAAGACCCCAAATGAGATGGATTGACACAGTGACTGGGATAATGGGGGGTAGATGTGTCAGAGACAGTGAGACTGGCTCAAGATAGGGCAGGATTCAGAGCTGTTGTTTTTAGGGTCGCTATGAGTCACAGGCGACTCAACAGTATCTCTGGCTCTCTATCTCTGACTCTTGGATCTAGGAGGTTCTCAGCACAAAAATCCTGGGTCCAGAGGATGCACTGTCCTTCCAGCTTATTTTTCTTGATAGAAGATTTCCACTTCTCTTTCCTTTCACCTCCTTTTAAAATAAAAGGTGTGGCTCAAACAAGACCTCATTGTAACATTGAGTCAACTGCAATTCATAGCAGCCCTAAGAACAGCGAATCTGAACCTTGACCTTTCGTGTGCCATCCTCACAATCTCAGATATACTTGAACCTGTTGTTACAGACACTGTGTTAGTCTGTCTCATTGAGAGTCTTCTTCTCATTGTTTGATCCTCCACCTTTCTAAGCATGATGGCCTTTTTGCAAGGACGGTCCCCACCTGACAACAAGCCCAGAACATGTGAGATGAAGTCTCACCTCATTCTTGGCTCCAAAGAACACCGTGGTTGCACTTTCTCCAAGACATATTTGTACTTTTGTCAGCACACAGGATATTAAGTACTCTTGGCAAACAAGGACTGTGTTTTTATTGTTGTTATGTGTCATCAAGTTGCTTGTGGCTCATAGCAACTCTATGTACAGCAGCTCTGAAACCTGCTCTACCCTGAGTCAACCTCATTATCTCTGACACACCTACCCCCATTATCCTAGTCATTGAATCAATCCATTTTATCGAGGGTCTTCCTCTCCTGCACTGTCCCTCCATGCTCCCAAGCATGATGTCCCTCTCCAAGGACTGGTACCTCCTAGCAACATGTCCAAAGTATGTTAGACAAAGCTTCAGAATCCTTGCCTCCAAGGAGCAGCCTGGTTTCACCCTCTCTAGGACGAACCTGTTTGTTCTCCTAGCAGTCCATGGTATACTCAATACTCCAGCACCATAGATCAAAGGCATCAATCCTTCTTCTTTCATTCTTAGTCACTAGAGCTGATGTATAGCAAGTAATTGTGAAGACCATGGCCTAGATCAGGTGGACTAGACCTCTGTAAAATGTGATGACTGAGTCAGACCCTGTGATAAGGTGGTAACTAAGTCGTGATAAATGTCACTGTAATCCTGCCTTATCAACAAACAGACAGCTCACTCCAAAATGAGACCATGACTATAGGCATTGAGTCTAGAATTTATTACACATCATAACATGAAGGACTATGGCTAGGAGTAAGTCACTGCATCATACCATTGGTCACAATGTTATCCATAATTTGTTAGAGTGCCTTGTTATTGTTAGCTAGTAATGTTACCATAAAAATATCACCAAATCTGGTAAGATTTTTCAATCCTTCCTTAATACCTCTTAGTAATAACCCTTGTCCTCAGCTTTGGCCTAGACCGTAGTGTTTTATAGACCCTAGGGCTCTGCCTATTATCCCAGGTGCCAGTCTTTCTGGATAATGGAGGCTCTGCACTAATTGGGCCCACACAGCCCTCCCTGGGTTGCATGGCCTCCCCAGTAGACCTGCCTGATGTTTCTTCTATGCCTCCTCGAGATGTCGCCTAGTTAGCCCCTCTCATCTACAGGTCTTGAGCGAAGTAGTTTTACACTTGAGTGGAGATTAGCTGTGTGAAATAACCTCTGGGACAAGTCTCACATGTGGTGGCATGGCCTTGATGCTAGATCACAGCCTTCCTTTGTCTCACATCCAAAAGAACTACGACATACTTCCCATTACACAGCCCGAGGTTCCACCTCAGACCCCATACACAGTCTCCCTTTCCCATGTGTGCTGTCTAACCTGTATCCTCTAGTTCACCAAGTGATTGGCTTTGAATTGAAAACCTAATCTACTGCTCCTTGCCTTCTGATAATGCTCATGTGTCCCTTCTTTTTTTTTAAATTATTATCAAATGTTATTAGTTTTAATGAATGCCCCTTCTTCTGTGCCCTGTCCCACCTACTTCCTCACTCCAACCCCAAGAATTTTTTATCTTCCACTATAGTTTTACTATCACAGAAGTTAGTTTACCTGTAGTTACTAAGAAGTTTTCCAAGACCCTTCTCTCCCTTTTGCCTATACAATTACAGTGTGTCTATCCGTTCACCATATTTCTTTTCTCAGGCCCTAATCTCTCCCCTTTCTACTATGTATCCGTTTTGTTCTGATTCCCTTTAAGAACAGACAGAAAGGGAGACTTGAGACAGAAGGAAGAGAATGGTGTGTATATACGTAGGTTTATATAGTATAGACTGCTGCACCATAAACTCTCTTAAATCTCCACAAATGTAGGGCCTGATCCCGGTAGGGAGTTGGTAAGCGTTTGTGTGAAGAATGAATGATTTCTTCCCAGTGCTCCCCAAATGGGAAAAGTAATGGAGCAAGGAGCAGCCTATGTAGGGGCCTGACTTCAGGTGAGTGACTGCACTTCTTCCCTGAATCTGTGTCTCCCTTTTCTTTGACCTGTTCTTAGGTCATTTCTGCAATACCCACCCAGTCTCTGAAGTTCCTGAAGGAGGCTGGGCATGGAACCGCCAAAGAGGAGATCACCAAGGATGCGGAGGGTCTGGACGAGATTGACCACGCTGAGATGGAGCTGCGCCGAGGCCAGATCCTCTGGTTCCGGGGCCTGAACCGTATTCAGACTCAGGTACCCTGATATGTGTGACCTGTCCTCATGCTGGGCTAAGAAATCTCCCCATATTAGGGAGAGGGTGGGAAGGCAGCAGTTCTCAGTGCCCAATGCCTCTCCCCTCCTTAAGGCTCATTACTACTAGGAAGCCCTGGCACCCCTCAGCTTCCGGTCAGACAAGGGCAGAAAGGTGTGAGTGGGCTCTTCTAGAAGTCAAGTAGTCAAGGAACCAAGAAGGTGGGACATTAACCCTGTTCCTTATCTAAGGGTTGGCTCAGAAACCCACACACCTGGCCTCGTCGACTGGGTGGATGTCCTACCTAAGCTCCCTTGTGATCTGTAACTTCAGACCCCAGGGAGGGAAGGGTTCCATTTTACCCCACCCCTCAGAAAGGACTCTACTAATATCTCTATACCCCCAGCAGATACTTAAAGTATCTGCACATTTTCAAGTGGCTTTTGTGATAAAGCAGCTGTATCTAGATGGATCTTTTTATTTAAAAAAAACAAACAAACCATCTTTCACCCTTTTCTTGCTTGCCCTCTCAAAACTGACCAGCAGGATGAGGTCTCGAAGGGCTAAGTATGCACAAGCAACCACAATATTGGTATGCCTGAGTGTCTTTTGCAGGATCCAGACTTGCACTCTGAAAAAGGAAGAAGCTATCATTTCATTGACCTTTTCCATCCTTGGGATTGCGAATGAGATGGAAGCTCTTCTGACACTCTTTAGTCCCCTTGCCTCCTACAGTCCTAAGTCACTTTCCTCTCCCTCACCCCCATACTTCCATTCACCCACTTTAACCACCTTATCCTAAGTGAATGGGTTGGTCTAGATGTTGATAATTCTAACACCATCCATACAGTCCACCATTGTATGTATTAGTACTGAGATCTATCTCACCAATCCGTTAGGTCTCAATATCTCAGGGGTGTTCACCAGAGAACAAACATGGTTCTCTGTTGATTAGCCAGTGAACCCAGAAATCCATTTCCGTCTCTAAAATAGGCCTTTGAAAATAGTAAGTCCTCTGGGCAATACCACCTCCTTAGTGCACAGGGGGAAATAGATGCAATGAATATTCTAAACCAAACCCCTAGGTGGATCTCATCTTCCAGCAGAGACAAGGTAGCCTAGTGGAAAAGGGCCAGGTAGGGAAGCACTGGGGCTCCTTTCCCCTCTCTAGTTCTTCCCAGGGAGGGGACTTCTACCAGGACCTGCACAGACTCCTCGGGGCGTCCAGGGTCCCCACCCCACCCTGATCCAGGTCACTGAGTCCACCAAGAGCCAGAGCCTCATGAGCTCAGAGAACTCAGCGCCTTTGGCTCCAATCCCTGAGGCGCCCGTGTGTTCCTGCAGGTCTGCTCTTTTCATAATAACCTGTCTTTGCTTTTCTTCCCTTCAGGATCACCTGTGTCTTCTTCTGCTCTGGGGGAGGGGGCTTTTTCCTAGCCAGGATTCCCTTGTTCCAGTGTCTCCTGACTCCTTGCCAGCCTTCTCTCCTGAGGGTCTGAGATCGATGGTCTTCCTTTCTCTCCACTCCCAATTGCCATTCCCTCGACCTCGTGCCTCTATTTGGTGCAGCTGCCCACGTAGCTTTAGTTGCACTGCATTGTCCTGCTGGCACATGAAGCAGTTGGGCTAGAACAGTATTCAGGCCCAGGCTTAGGCACAAAGGTGGCCTATTAAAGCGGCTGTGATGACCCAAAGTGCCATCCCCGTGTGCACCCAACTCAGCAGATGTGCCGTCTGGACACCTGAAGGTCCTTTCCCAGCACCAACTTTGCAGCCCCAGGAAGGTTCTAGCAAAATCAAATCCCCAGCCATCTGCTTGTGCCTTGTCAGTCTCACTGCAACAAGGCAGTGGCGGGAGAAATGCCAAGCTGTTACACAGACCTCCCTGGGATCCCCTTTTCCCCAGTTCTAGGCTGTTTGTCCCTTCTCTTTCTCTATAGTTTTCATTGTAAGGCACTTTAAAAAAAATTGTTTTGTTTTGTTTTCCTTTTTTTCCCAGAGCTCAAAGGCCTGGAAAGTAAAATTTGGGAAAACATAAAGGTTAGAACCCCACGAAGGTAAACCTAGGACCCTATTTCATTGTGAGGGTTAGAATGTTACAGCTCTAGTAAGACACGAGGAAAGGTAACTGTCTTTGCAGCCTTATCTATGCAGCTGGAACCCTCCCAAGTATAAATCATTTCTTCCCACGGGATCCGGCTCCCGGGCCCCCAGGAAACTGTTATATGACGAAGGGATTAAGTTTTAGCTCACACTTTCAGCTGAATCCAGAAATAAGCTCTAAACTTCTCATGGCTTCTCAGGAAGCTTTAAAAGCAATAATAAGGGTCCAGCTTTCCTACTTCTTTCCTCCTTGGGAGATAAGGAAGGATAAATGGGAGCTGCACCTTCCTACACTCCTCCTGCCAGGTCTACCTGCTATTAAGGCAAATGGGTGTCTCAGGTTATTCTGCGGATTCCCTTTGATTTGCCTCTTGTTAACTTAGGGGGATGAGAACTGTTGGTTTACTTGACGTTCTTGATCAAGATCATGACTGGAAAATTAATGGCACTAATTACCTCTGCCTTTGAAGAGTAAGACACTGGAAATCAGAGGCCACTTGCATAGGGCTGAGCCAGCCGCTGCTCGTCACAACCACTACCAACAACACACTTCCCTCAGTCTAACTGTTGAATTCTGTGACCAGCATTTCTGCCGGGTATTTGAGGGCCTCCCATAATCTGTAGCTAGTGGCTTCCTCTCTAAAGAGTCTGGCCGCTGGGTTCCTAAGCTCCACTCTCAGCACTTTGCTCACTTCAACCCAGGGAAAGAAACACAGGCAGAGGGTAAACCTGTGGCCCAGAGCCCTTCCACCACAGCCTCCCACTGCCTTTGTTCCTTCAAATACAAGAGTTCTTTTACTGGAAAAGCTACAGAAAATAAGAAGTGCATTTAATGGATTTGGAGGTTCCTGAGCCTCGGAATTGGTAATATATTCTTTGCCTTAATTTTCTTATACTTGCATGTCTTACTTTTTTCAAGAATTCAGCTCCAAGCAGTGGCTCACCTATCCCTCCCTGTTGGGAGTTGTAGGCGGGCAGATCCCTTTAATAAAGTTAGGTACTTTTGGACCTAAATTTTTGATACTCTTTGATATTAGGTGAAATGGAAAGAGAAGACTGGATTCTAGTTGAATATTTGGACTCCACAACTAATTGTTCCTTAAATGAAGTATAATATGTAATTAATATCTTGCCCCTTCTCATCCTCGCCTTTGCTTTGTGTGGGGGCTGGGTCTCTTTCTTGCTTCTCATATCCTGTTCCACTTTCAACTTCTGCCCCCTTCCCTTGCCCTCCACCCTCTCTCCTCACCTCTCTCTGACTGTGGAGAAAAGCTGTCTCACCCTCTGATTCTTTGCAGATCGACGTAGTTAACACATTCCAGACTGGAGCCTCTCTTAAGGGAGTCCTAAAACGACAGACCATGAGTCAACAGTTTGATGTAAAACTTGTTCCTAGCTCAGCCCATGTAACAGTTGCCCCCACCACTTCTGTTGCTGGAGCTGCTGTCTCGTCTACTCTGGGCAGTGAGTGAGAGTCTATTACGATGCATGATTTGCTAAAATGACCACAAGAGAGCACGTGGCATCCACTGTCACCAACCAGGGTTATTTGTTCCTTTGGGTTTTTCCCTCTGATCTTAGAGTTTAAGGGAAGAAAAGACACAAGTCCCACTTGAAAAACAAAACCAGGCTGTGTGCTCTTTTAAAATTTAGTTCTATTTTCCTTTTGGAAGAGCTGTTAAGCAGTAACCATTTTAATGACAGTAGTCCTGCCTTTTGGATTGTTCCCGTGCATTGCTTGTTTCTCCCTTTCCTTGAGCTTTTTGTCTGTTCATTTTATGTTTTGTTTTGATATGTTCTTGCTGTTGTTGTTCTCCTTCCTTCTGTTCCTTTGGTTTTCTCTCAAGAGTCTAAACTCTCATTCCTAAGCTGGCTGTAGATGTGGGCAGAATGGTCAGGGTGTCTCTTCATTTGTAGGCAAGTTTCTGACTAGAAATGTGATTTCTGAGGGATACGAAGCGAGGTGTGAAGGGAGCGACTGTGACAGTGAAGCTTTTTGCTAGCGGAACTGACATCATCGAGCCAGTTTTGGGCTTGGCCAATGGCAGTTAGTCATTTGGGTTACGAGTCTATCACAGTATAGCCATAAAAGCTGTAGCTGGATTTGGAGAAAAGAAAATGATTCTGTTCAAATGTGAAGGTCCAGGCATCCCTATTAATTTACTTTCCAGGAACTTTAAACCCAATTCTCGTTTAAGAATCAATTCATTCACTTCTTAACAAAGGAAAACATGCAAAGATGAAAATAATGTGGCGAAGTTTTTTTTTTCTTTGTTTCTAATTTTTTTTTTTTAGGAGTTTCTGAAGAGTAGTTCTTTTTCACTCCTCCTTTTCTTTTGATTTGTTTCACCTCTAGTCTGCCCTCCATGTCTACTCTTGCACTTAAAATTCTCAGAAGTGTTTTCTCACGGCATGCCTGTCAACTGGCAGCCTGCCAGCTCCCCGCCCAACATCTGGGGTTCTCATTGGTTGACTGGATTCCTGCTAATACGTGTGCTTCCTGTTCCTGGTCATTTTACCTTTCACCCAAGTTGAGCACAAAAAAATAGAATATAGTCAGCTCGTTGTTAATGGCGTTGTTACAAGTATTTGGTGAGGAGAGAATATCTCAGTATAAAGTAGATTAGATTTTCTGTGGGTTTTTAATATCTGAGTGACTACCTATATTCTTTCCTTCCTCTCTCATCATTGCAGCCACTCACCCACCAGAGGAAGAGTGAAATAGTAATTACACTGTCACATGATTGTGAGTCGTGGAGCTTGATTAGACGTATTTTCTTTACAGTCAGCCATGTGCTGGTGTGAGGTCCGAGGTGGAGCGTTGAAAGGCAGACAAGGAAAGGACTAAATAGGTCTATGTGGCAAATATTTAAGAGTCTCTAGCATGAATCTTTCCATATTCCTCCTTCATCTCCTTTTTCCCTTTTAGTTTCGCCATTGTCTGCTAACTAGCTTCTGTCCCCTTAAAGCATCTCTGTCTGGTGTGAAGGGCTTGGAGGCTTAGCAGAAGGCAGAGCTCGAAGGGCTGTTGTAGAGAAGCTGGCCGAGGGGTGTGCTGTGAGACCTCATGGTTGAGCTCAGACAGGAAGCCCAGACCACATCTGCTCTTTCTCCAGCTGTGCTTTCTTCCTTGGAAGTGCTAGCAGTTGTAGCCTTCTGTTTATTTACAGTTCTTTATGTGCATTTTAAGCCCCCCTTTCCCATTCCACATCTTCCCATGAATCCAATTATTTGTCCAGCCTTCAGGAGCTAAGTCTCTAAGGCTTCCTATAAATGGAAAGGCCTAGTGTCTTCTCCAGGTTCTGGAAAGAGGGCAGAAAGCATCAGGGTACCATCTGAAAAAAACTCGTCTGCCCTTTCACTGAATTCCAACCACTGACCCTTCGCATATGTACTAATCTATGTTCCAGCCTGGTTGAGGCTCCTGAGTCCTACAAAAAGAGTTGCCCTTCAATCAGTCACTTCCACTTGGAAGACAGAGGCCTCAGACAAGACATTTCCCACTCACTTCTCCATGGAGAGGCTTTTGAGAAAATGGCTGGTTGGCTGAGTGGCGAATGCCTGAAGCTTTTCACTGCACCTGCTTCACTAGCCTCGTCTTGTCCCTCACACACGGCTCACACTGCAGGCACCCGGCACCGTTCACTGGAAAGGGAAGATGACCCACACAGTGTGAATCAGTGGTGATTATTCATCAGTGTGCACTATGCACTGTGCCAATGAGGCCAGTGTTGGCATTGAGCAGAATTCTGGGGCAGGTCCACGCCCTTCGACCTCCTCATCCTTCTCTCCACCCACCAGGTCAGGGGGTACTCCCTAGTGCTCCAATCCTCTTCACTTGAACTTCCCTTACAGGTGGCTGGCTGGTTTCCCTTTAGATCCCAGAAGTCGTGCAGCCTACCTGGATGACTGTTCCTTTCTCCCCCAGAGAAGAAAATGTTCCTATTTTTTTCCCCTATCTACTCACACCCCATCCACTTTTATCTCCCTTATTATTTACCTGTAACAGTATTATTGGTCACCCCAACAGGTGAGAGGAAAAGCCAGAACAGCAGGGTTCCAGACCCTCACTCCAACCCCACTTTGTAAAATAATCTGCTTTCTATTTTGGACTCCACATATAATTGTTTCAATGAAAGATTCAGTTGCTTTTCAAAAAGTAGAGAAGCAGGCAGTTAGAGAATCACGGGCCTCAAAGAGGATAGACGAGTGGTCTAAAGGTACCCGTTCTCCCGTACTGCCCATTAGAAGTTTTAGAGGTCTCAAGAGCAGGTGTAAAATGTGGGCTTTGTTCACTTCTGCAGGCCGTGGTGTGGCCTTGAACCAGGCCCCTGGCCAGTGTATCTGCATTGGGGCCAGAGTGGAATACGTTGGATTTGGGCTCATTGAATCCAATTCGCCTTGCTCTTAGAAAAATGGAGTCCTCACTCCATCTGATCCCACTGAAATCTGAAACGAAGGAAAGTAAAAGTTACACCTCAAACGATTAGTCGGAGTCGTAGAACGATAGAGAAGCAGGGCCTCGCTTTCTGTTGCACCTGGTGAATGTGTGTCCAGGTTCCTTCTTTCCTTTTTGAGATGTTGAGCTGATTCTTACTGAGGGCCAAGGAATCCTTTGCCCTCCGAGGTATGAGCACCTCAGTCCAGGACAGGCCTGCCAGCCTGTGACATGAGGCAAGGTACAGAATGCGTTAGGCACAGAGACACAGACTTCTCCAGAGAAGAGAGGCCACAGTGCTGATGGTGAGCCATTATTTTATAATATAATATTATATTACATATATGTGATTTTTTCCCTAAAAACCTCTATATTACTTCATAGTTCTGTCCATTATAAAAGTAATTTTGACCACATTAGGGGGAAAACGCACTAAAGAACAGTTCCCCATGCCAATAGTGCTGGGATAAGCATTCTATGCCTGACTCTGTCCCTGCTCCACTGTCTCCACGTTCTTGTCTTTTCTCCAGGAACATTTTCACCCCTGCTCCCCGGACGTCAATAGCAGAAAAATTAAAATAAAGTGACATCTACCCCACATTTATCACTGCTCCTCATTCTCACCACCCCCACCCCAACAATTTCTCCAGACATATTTCTTTTCTGAGAGAAGAATGTTTTGTACCACCTCCCGGCAGTAGTGTCTGAGAGCAGCTTTCTCCCCCACCCCCACTTTCCAATCTCTCAGGTGTCTTTCCTCCAATTGTTCCCCAACCCCAGTTCCACCAACTCAGATCTTGCGCAGCGCCTCAGAGACCTGAACTTCAGAAAAGCAAAGGTGCCTCTGGCTTTGGCCAAGGTTGTTCACAGGAACCCACTACTGTCAGTGGCTACCTCTTGACCCTGGATTGGCTGACTGAACCCCTTCCCTTTTTGTGCAGTAGAACAAAGACTTTGACACTAACAGGGCAGCCCATTTGTCTTGTACCCCATAAACCTGCAAATCATTTCCTTTCCCCATTCTCTCCATGCACCCCTCCAGAAAAACCACTTGTTTGTAGCTCTGCCTCCTATGTTAGGTGCTTTCTCTCCAGCCCCCATCCTGTCCCTTCTCCACATAAGCTCCTGCTTCTCCTTTCACCATTTGAAAACAGCTGGAGAAAGCTGCATGACTGGGCACAGCAGCTGTGTGTCAGGGATGTGAACACGCACGTGGCGTGAGCCAGGTCTTCTCAGTGGTTGGGAAGCAGAAGTCTTTCCATACCCTTATTCCAACCGCATTCTCCAGGAGAGGGACCCAAGGAATAGAGTGTGGCTTTTTTCAGGGGAGGGACGCAGAAGAGGTTCTAGGTTGGAAATCCATGCATGTCTGCTGAAAGAACGGATCGTTATATTGCCAAATGTAAGAGTTTTTGTCTCCTGCATGCCACTGACACAGTGAAGACCGGTTTGTCTGCCTTGCTGCACGGCATTTGTGATCACCCATCACCCAAAGCGTGCTATGTGCCAATTGGTATATTGACTTTTTGAGGGTCCCCAGCACATAACTAAATGTCAATATGTAATATTTCTTTCCCCCATTCTATGTTCACAAAAAAAGTGTTTGGCCTTGACACAGAAACTCTCGTGTCTGAATCATCTTTTACGTTTGGCCATTATGTTTGTTGCACTTGGTCCTGACTTCCCTGCCCTCCACCCGAAAGAACTAATGAATCATCTTTTATGTTTTCTGTTTTAAAAAATGAGTCATTTGGGAATGCTAACTTTGCTTTGGGGTTTCTACGGTCTTTATTTTTTTTCCCCTTTAAATGCAGATTTTGAAACATTCCAGTCATTTGCCATCACTCACCCCACCCCACCCCACCCAGTGCTTGAGATTTGAGCCCTGTGATGTTTCTGGTGCTCCGTCATCTCTTCGTACATGTTTGGTTTTGATTGTTGAGCAATGTACTTTTGTGGCTGGGGTTTTGCATTTCTTCTCAAGCGGCCAGTCCCTGGCTCTGCTGGCCAGTTCTCACGTGCTTCTTCTCTCTGCCCCCTTTTCCTTTCCCTGCTGTAGATCAAAGTGGTGAAAGCATTCCATAGCTCCCTCCACGAGAGCATTATGAAGTCCTCGCACCAAAACTCCATCCACAACTTCATGACCCACCCGGAATTCGCCATAGAGGAGGAGGAGGGGCCACGAACACCAGTCCTGGATGAGCAAGAGGAGGGCAGTTCCGACAAGGCTTTTCCATCTGGGACGAGCGTGTTTCCGACTGACGATGAGGTCACTCCATATGCCAACACAAACAACAATGCGGTGGATTGCAACCAAGTGCAGGTCATTGCCTCCCACTCAGACAGCCCTCTCCACAGCCTGGAGACTTCCGTTTGAACTTGCATTCTCTGACTTCATCCCTGCTTTCTCTAGTCCCTTTCTCATCTGTCCTGTCTGTGAGGTAATGATGGGACTGAAAACCGTCACGTCGGCTGCTCCCAAGTGCACGTGAACCCCATCTGTCCATGAAGCGGCAAGAGCAGAGTGCTGGGGTTTGTAGCAGGACCCAATCAAACCCCGGGCAGGTAATGGTAGGATCTACTCCTCGGGCGTATCAGCTGTTACTTTTTGCAGAATCGATGCCAGACCTCTCAGCATCACTCCCATTCACATTTGCCCCTAGTGTCCATGTGTACGTCACCATCTCCTGACTGCCGAAGCTTCCTCTATGAGGCTGTCACGTGTAAGCTAAGCTGAGATTCAGAGACAAGTGTCTTTGAATGCACTGAGGTAGGAATCGGATGTATAGAATCAGAGTGATTGCTTTTTAAACAATTCTTCCCATTTTAAATATTTGTCCCTAAAGTCCCCTAGCTCTTTCTTTCCTTCCAGTCATACCTCCCCAAGGTCCCATTGGTCTTCTGTTCCCCCGCCCTCCTTCCCTTCCCCTTTGTTGTGCGTGATGATTCCCCAAGTAGAGAGGGCACAGGTGAACTGAATAAATGCTGACCAATCCAGAGGCAGACAGGTTCTTGCTGAAAGGGCCCATTTGAAGCAATCAGGAGCAGATAAGAATGTGGCCCTGTGGTCACTAGGTTGCCTTCTCCTTCCAAACTGCCATCTTGTTAGGCATGTATGGTTTCTAAGTGCCAGAGAGAGCAGTCATGACCAGGAAGCTTGCATATGTGTGCTGTGGACTCTTCCCCCAAGCCTGAGCTTTTTCTTTCTTACTCTGTACACTGATGGTGAAAGAATTAATTGGGTGTGAATCTGTCTCCTAAATAAATGAACTTTAATATTTTAATATTAAGGACCAGGAGCTGGCAGATCGTGGACAAGACAGAGACCATGTAAGTGGATTCTTGTGGGGGGTCCTTCTTGGGATAACCACTTCTACTTGCAAAGCCATCTGCCGGAGCTCTTCCGGGCCAGGAGCTGGTTGCTGCATGAGTGAGTGTTAAGAAGCCTTCTTGGAAGAGGCCAAAGGGCTGTGCTAGCAGGATCTATGGAAACCTTCCTGCAGGGACCAGAAATCTTGAGGTTAGGTGCCTGGGTACTAGCTTTAACATGCTCATCTGTTTTCTTATTGTGCTCTTTGCTGCGTCCTGTTGCTTGTCCAGTCAGATATTCTGATTTTGGAACAGTGCACCCAATGTGAGAAGCTCCAGTGACAGTCTCTTGATTGAAAGGAATAAAGACTGACCCCGAAAAGCTCCCCTTCTTTCTCTCACACTCCCACCCGAGCCCTCTCCAGCAATGCCCTCCAGCTACATAGTAAAGCCCTGTGCCTTTTCCTCCTTCAGCACTGCCTGCAGCACCCCCTACCTACCTGCCTCTCAGACGTTGAGGACTTTGCTAGGAGAGTTTGTTGGGATGGCTTCGTTTTTTGTTGTGGTGGTGGTTTTTTTAAAGTGTTCCTTAATGGGACAAGGTGGAGCCACATTTCTAGGAGCTCCTTCCTGCCCCCCCTGCTGATGTTGACATAGGCTCTTCTGCACATGGGTTAGCTTGGACCTGCCAATTCCCATCTCCCAGTAGATCAAGGACGTCCCCTCTTTCCAGAGGGTGGCAAAATAGGGAGGAGAGGTTTTTGAAGCTCTTGTGAACTGCCAAATTCCCATTTGTGAGAGAAAGGTGACCCAGCCCTCTCCCCTGCAGTCTTCTCTCCTGGATCCTTCCTCCCTCATCCCTTTTCGTATGAGCTATCCAGAGGAGGAGGAGTGAAAAAATGATACCCCCTACACACTCTCATCACTGCACACTTCATCACTGTAGGAAATAGCAAAGCAAATTTTTATTTGGGTTTTGTAAACATTACACACTCCAGTGACCTTTTCTCTGTCTTGTCTACTCGGGGCGGGAGGGAAGCTCAGCTCAGATGGTAGGTATTCGCTCAACGTGTTTTATTAAGTACTTTGGAAGATTTCATTCTGTCAAGTCTTTTATTACCTCAGATCAGTTTTTTAAAGTAAGCCACTACCCAACCCTGGAGGCTATTTACCATCCCCACTCCCAAAAGACTCTCATGGTGCCAGACAGGTTACTCTTGAGGGCTTGTGTCTACTTTTTAAAGGCAACGGTTTTTTTGGGTGTGTTCCCATAGTAGGAGAAACTATATAGAAATATTATGCAAAAAAAAATATATATATAGTTTTCTTTAGATCAGAAACTGATATTTTCGAGTCAGCCATATGTATTTTGTTTAAATGATTTAAAATAAAGTGCCATCATGTGATCCTGCAGAAGGGGGGCGTATATCCAGCTGTTTGATATGACTGGTGACTTAGTACATTCATAATTGGTGTAAAAACCACACATGGGACTTTCTTTCTCCAAACAGCCATCTTTATACTT